GAGGCAGCGAGAGATTTCTCCTTGGTTCCGGAGTAAAGTTGCGGTGGGAAAGCTCGCCTGCCTTAAGGGGATTAAACGTACCGTATGTATCGGTTTCGTTCTGTGACTTCTCCGCTTAGTCAGTTTAAGAGCCCCTCTGCTTTTTTTTTTTTTTTAAAAGGGAAAAGCAATTCGAGAAACAGGTAAGGGGAACCTCCTGAAGTTGACTGGGAGGTGATCGGAAGGGAAACAAAGTTGGCGGGATTGTGGCGTGGCTTGGGAGGGATTTGAGAAATAAGCTGGTTTTCCAGAGGTTGCCCAACTGCCTCCCTATCTCATAAAAGACAAGTGTTGAATAATAGTTCCCGGCTAGATGAGCTTTTATAGGTGAGAACATATTTCAGGTATAAATATCTGGGATGTAGAACAGTGTATTTTGAATTGGATTCTTAAAAATTGTTTTGTTTATATAACTGTTCTACTTCTATGTGCTTTTAAACATTTCAAATTCAGCTCAGAGAGGAATATAAACCAGTTAGCACTACCCAAATCATATTGTTCTATTCATAGTATAAAAAAGATCCAATTTTTAGAATGCTTGTATGCATTTTGGGGTGTGATGGCATTTTGTACAATATAGGACAATTATATTTGGCAGTAGATCCTGTTATATTTATCACAACTGTCATTATTGTTACAGAATTGTAACCTAAAGATTTCTATTTACTTAGAATAGATCCACACTGTAGAGTGCTTAAAACCTAAGCGCTCTGCAGTGTCAATAATTAACAGGACAAGTTAACAGAATCAAGGGCACATTTGACATTTTTAGATAAAATAAGTATAATCTTTATTGTCATTGTACTTAAATACAACGAAATTGGTTGTAAATAAATGCAACAACATCCTGGAAGTAAACAAATTAGGTTTGTAACTTTTTAATCTTATGAAATACGAATAAGAAATAGAATAAAATATTTGTTCAGCTCATTAAGAAGCAATCGTCACTATATATATCTTTGGAGGTTGGATTAGAGCAGTGATTAATTCCACTGGATAGAAATACGTATTACCAAAATTATAAATCCTGTTATATGGATGTGGGAATATTTGGATTTAAAACTTGAAATATTTTTCTTTCTGAATCTTAGTTCTTTATTTTCCGTTGACTGTGAAAATTAGTTAAAAATGGATCTGTTTAAAATTGATTGACATGTTTTTGTAAAAGAGTTCTGCTTAGAAATGCAAAAAAAACAAAAATAGTACTTTCTCTGTAGCAGTGTGCGCGCGCACACACACACACACCTCAAGTTTCAAAGGGCCCTAAAGACCTGGCTTTTTCCCCAGGCCTTTGTTGAGCATGATTGACCCCCCCCTTTTCTTCTTTTTCTTTGTTCCTATGAAGGTTTGTTATCTCTGCCATCTTTGACTTTGTTCTATGTTGAGCTTTTTTTGTTTTAATTTTTTTAACCATTGATAAATAGCCTGGGCTTTGAGTGGTATGGGAACTTAATTATTAATTTATAATAAGTAGTGGATTACTCCTAAGGACCTCTGAATAAGACTAAACAAGACAGATAAACTACTAGTAGAAAAGATTTCCATTGAATAATGTAACTTTTCCATTTATCTTGTAAGTTGATCAATATTTATGGAATCATAAATATTTATGATTTTATTCAGATGACTTCAAACCTGCATCAATTGATACATCTTGTGAAGGAAACCTTGAAGTTGGTAAAGGTGAACAGGTAACAGTAATGTTGCCAAATATTGAGGTAAGATTTTTGTATTCCTTAAAAAGGCATAGCTATATCTTAAGTGTGATTACTTTTATGTTAGTGCATGAAGAATATAATTATCAAGGTAGACTGTGCAAATGGGCTATTATATTAGGGGATTGGTAACTTCCAAGATGCTATTGAACTGTAGAATAATGGAAGTTGCAGTCTTACAATTTGTATTTTATGTGTTTACTATGAGGATCTATGTTCTGCAACAGATACTGGCTACATGTGAGAGCAATAAATAGCAGGAAAATCCTTGTGTTGATTCTTGCATTTGACCACTTTAGAAGTATCTTTGTAATAGCTGCACAAAAGTGATTAATGATGACAGGATAACAAATCCGAAGTGCAAAGCAACTTTTACTGGTTTTTTTTTTATGATAAGCCAGAAACCTTCAACTTTTAGACAGTCTAATTAAGGAAAGGTGCTGTAGCAAATTGTGCAATTGCTCCCAGTACTTGTTCCCTACCAGTCAGGACTTCTCAAAAAGCAGGCAACTTTGTATTACCTAATTCTCCTAGCTTGTTCCTCTTCATAAGTAAAAAACAAACATTACTTACATTTCTCCTTGTTAAGTATGGAGTTTTTTGGTTTGTTTGGCCACACCTGATAGAATGAACCAAGTGGGGAAGACCAGTTAGGCAAAACATGATATGATAAGTGAGAATATTTGTAGCTCAAGGGGCTTGGTACTGATGATGTTAACTAGTTTGGGTAATGAACCATCCGCAAGAAAACAAGCAAGCTTAGAGATCACCAAGGACCCCTCATAATATGATATGATTTGTGTTATTTGTGACATATGAATCAGGCTGAAATTGATTTATTGAGAACATATAATAGTCCTATTGATGAGGGAGATTCATCTTCAATTCTGTTAAGATATCAAAATATTTTCGGTAAACCGTAAGTTAAAAAACGCACATAGTTACTCTTCTGTGCTAGAACTGTAAAATTGCTGTATGTAATCTTGAAGC